TCTTTCCCGGAGTAGCAGGCGTAAAATCGTCATGCGGAGAAAACGCGAACGTTTAGTAAACGAAAGACGAGAACCATTGTCTTGAAAAGTCGACGAGTCTAGAAATCGGTTCGACCTAACCTCAACGCGCGCTCCCGCGACTCAATTCACTCGCGTGTCGCCGCGGCTTCTGACCGTACGATCGGTCGAGAGCGAGTGCGATCGCAAGAGGGAAGGGAAGGGAAGGGAAGGGGGGGGGAGAGGGATAGGGAAGGTAGCGAGATCTAAGTTCGAGATAAGCTTACGCGGGAGAGATGCGAATCTTTCATCGCGGACAGACACACGCGCGCATTCTCGAAAGAGAGTAAGATCGCGCGCAATAACGGAGCGAGCGCGTATTTAAAGCTTACCCTCGAGTCTCGTGGAAGTGTCGGAGGTCCTTTAGGAAGTTCTCCCTCTCCTTCTCGTACGTGACGGGGTCCTTGTTGAGGATCTTGGCCATGTTCGCGGGTACAAGTGCGCGCGGGCGTGCTTAATCGGGGTTGGTGTGCTCTGGGTTTACAGGGCACGCAGGGACAGCGGGCAGAGAAGTAGAAGGAGGTGCAGCACATGGGCGCGCACGGGGGCACATTTACGCGAGGAGCGTCCTGCTGCTGCTGCTGCTGTCGTCTTCGTCGTCGTCGTTGCTTGTACTCGAGGACGAGGACGACCGCGGGTGGACACGGGGTCGCGACCCGCTCCCGACATCGGGTCGTCTTGTCCCGCACCAAAGTCGGCCGGTGGCCTCTTCGTTATTCCGTCTCGCTCTTTCTCCCTCCCACCTTCTTTCTTCCGTACGCTCCTCTTTCTCCTCTGCCTCTGTTCTTTTCGCACTCTCTATCTGTCGGCCGCGCGCTCACTCGCTCTCTCGCTCGCGCGCGCGAAACGAGACGACGACGGCGGCGGCGGCTTTTTCCTGCCGTACCGCCGCCCCCAGATCGCCTGTTCGTCGCGTAACGCGTAACGGCGTATAACGCTCTCACGGGCGTCCAAGCGAGATCTCCTCGCGCGCCGTGTGCAGGAAAAATCCAAACGCGTTGCCGAGACGGTCAACCGAGAAGGATCGTATTAACGCTAACGCGGGGGGCGCGTTACAACGAGACACGGGTACAGTACGACACAGTACGTTTTACAGGGCACGCAGGGACAGCGGGCAGAGAAGTAGAAGGAGGTGCAGCACATGGGCGCGCACGGAGGCACATTTACGCGAGGAGCGTCCTGCTGCTGCTGCTGCTGTCGTCTTCGTCGTCGTCGTTGCTTGTACTCGAGGACGAGGACGACCGCGGGTGGACACGGGGTCGCGACCCGCTCCCGACATCGGGTCGTCTTGTCCCGCACCAAAGTCGGCCGGTGGCCTCTTCGTTATTCCGTCTCGCTCTTTCTCCCTCCCACCTTCTTTCTTCCGTACGCTCCTCTTTCTCCTCTGCCTCTGTTCTTTTCGCACTCTCTATCTGTCGGCCGCGCGCTCACTCGCTCTCTCGCTCGCGCGCGCGAAACGAGACGACGACGGCGGCGGCGGCTTTTTCCTGCCGTACCGCCGCCCCCAGATCGCCTGTTCGTCGCGTAACGCGTAACGGCGTATAACGCTCTCACGGGCGTCCAAGCGAGATCTCCTCGCGCGCCGTGTGCAGGAAAAATCCAAACGCGTTGCCGAGACGGTCAACCGAGAAGGATCGTATTAACGCTTACGCGGGGGGCGCGTTACAACGAGACACGGGTACAGTACGGCACAGTACGGCACAGTACGCCACGGCACAGCACGACACAGTACTGCTCCGCTCTGCTTTCGGCACGCAACAAACGCGACGAACAAGCGAAGAGCCTTCCTCTCTCGCGCTCGCTCCTTCTCTCTCTCTCTTTCTCTCGTAGGCCCCCGATCGATTCACCTGTCACTTGTCAACGAAACTCACGGGATCCGTTGCGCCACGCACGACGCATCGGTGGGCTCGCGATGCCCCGGCTCCAGCTCTCGCGTAACGCCCGAATTCGGCCCCGCGCGTGTTCTACGCAGGCCGGCGGAGAGCGACTCGCGGGAGCGCGTTTCACTTGCGAGATGCGAAGCGCTTGACGTGCGCCCGTATATCAAAATGGCGTCCCGTGCTGCCTGGCATCCATTGGCGAAGCCACCGCGGCCAATTTCCCGTACGCTACCGCCGATCGCTACGACGCTGCGCCCGCGACGGTATACACACACCGCGCACCGTTTCCGCTCACCACACACGTCGGCAGCGCGCGCGCTGACGTCCGACGCGACGCTCTACGTCATTTTACGCGCGGCCACTCGGCTGCGTATAGGCCCCGACCCGTACGCGGCGTGTCCCACGGCTTTTTTACCTTCCACGCGTACCGTCCCAACGAAAATCCTCGATCGCACAGTATTTTTACTTTCAAAATGGATGGGTGTTCCCCCCCCCTCTCGCGCTCACTCGAGCGAGCGTGTCGAACCGAACGGCACTGGCGCACGGTTTGAATTAATGCTCGTGGCGAACATCAGGGGCGCGACTTGTCCCGCGGCGCGACACCGCCATCTCTTGTCGGTCGGTTGCAACTAGCCGGGAACGAAGGCGCGAAAAACGGCCCGATTTGAATGGTTTCGTCCCATAATAAATTAAAAATACTCGCATCGCTCTTGCCCCTTTTCTTATTTCACCGTAAAAACGCTGTAGTTTTGTTAGTGTACTTTTACTAAGGATATTCAGATCGACGTTATCGCTTTCGTAAAGGAACTTTATTACGGAAGTTGACCGTCTTTAGCGATACGTATTTAGAAATTTCTCTCACGTGTACGATCAAAGTTAACGCGAATCCGACAGATTCACTTTCGACAGATTCGTCTTCTTCTTCTTTCTTTAATTGGCACCTGCCCTCGGTCGAGGGTCAATACGGCCAGAATCTAGCGTATAATGTATACGGAAGTGGCGTTAAGAGGTAATACAAAGGCGTTAACAAAAATAAAAACAAAAATCCTCTTAGAAGAGGAGAAAGTCCAAAAAATAAAGTCCAAACAAAGGACACACGTGCAACGCGTCAAAACACGTCCGTATTCGACCAAGGCCGCAACGGAAGTGTACTTTCGACAGATATTTATATGCGAAAAGCAAATTTTTAAATTTTTAATTTTTATGCCGTATAAACGTAAAACGTATCACAGAGGTGACGCGCATTTGAAAAAAGGTTGGAGCAAAAGGTTGATTCGTTGGTTCTAAAAGTAAGAACCAATCACATTCGATTGCTACTAAGCGGTTTTCTCTGCTGAACGCGGCCATTTATCGTCGCGTTGCTTATAGGTTGCTTTGGTGATTTTGCAAGATGGCAGAAACTTGGTGCTGCGCAGAATGTGACGAAAATTCGTCCGAGAAGATAGTACACCTTGTTACTTACATTACACCATGGGTCGGAAAACGAAACGAAGAACCAAGGATCTGGACGAGGTAGGTAGATTTTGTCTAACCTCCTCAACCACGTGGATGTGTGTGGCGTAGTATGCATTTTTTATTCACGATTATCGAACGTATATCTCTGAATTTAGATCGATGAGGATTTGAAGGGGAACGCGAAGAAGCTGTTAAATCAGGAAGTAGACTTTGATAAACCCGGAGCGGCCCAACATTATTGTATCCATTGCGCGTAAGTTTGATATTGTGATATATGACATAACCTAATCTAACCTTTCATCGAAACGGTAATAATTGTGCCATCCATTGAATTGTCATCTACAAAATCTTAATTATAAACTTTGTGCAAAATTACATGTTTTTTTTTAAATAATCTCTAAAAAATAATATTGCGAAATATAACGGAGTTTCTTTTACGCAAAATATTGCATATTGCATTTAAACTGCTTCGTATGATATATATTAAATTTCAATGTAATAAATTAATACTGTACTGTGTATAATATATTGCATATTGAAATAACATGATATTGTAAAAGCACAATTGTGCATCTATTACTAACTGTAATGCAATATTTTAATGAAATATATTGAACAATATCTTGTAAAAACTGTTAAAATTAAGAAAAATCTTATTATTTGTTTCCAGGAGGTATTTTATAAACGAAACTGCTCTGCGTACTCATTTTACTACCAAGGTACATAAACGACGATTGAAGGCACTCGAGTTAGAACCATATAGTATCAAAGAATCGGAAAGAGCAGCGAGCAAGGGAAATTATATCACACCGCAAAAACGGAAAATCGAAACTGTAACGCGAGGAACTTTTAATGAAAAAGATGCAGATGCTGCGCCAAAAGCTAAAGCTATGAAAATAGATGAATAAAATTGATTTATCGTTTAATTGCTGTATCTTCATTATGATGTGGAAAAGGATTTAAAAAGATCAAAACACAATGATTAATAATCTGTATAGATCCATGCGCGTTTTACAACGAACATGTAGAATTTCAATGCGCGATGTTCGTCGAAAGATATTCTTTCCGATAAATTTAAAGAGAAATTACAGTTCGGCATTATATATTTCTGGCAATAAAGCTTACAAAGCATTTGCATTTTTATCACCGTACCTGGATTGCGACGAGAGATTCGCCAATGTGGACAAACTGCAGAAGGAGTTGGTGTTGCGCGGGATGAATGTTGACGTCGCTCAGTTAAAGAATGCGTGGAATTTCTATCTAAAGATGGTCGCAGATAGATGCGCTTTAGAAGACAACAACTCGGAACTCGCGGGTCGCATAAGACGTCTACGGAAAAGTGCCGATCATACTGCTGAGCAGGAGCAAGAAGTACACAAATTGCGTACACAGCTCAATATTATACGGCAAGATTTGAAGACGATAAGAGAAGCAATATGGGATTTGGACGAAGATGTGATAGAGAGAATCTTGAAATTACCAAACGAGTTGGATCCGAGAACACCCGTCAATGAGTCGGTAGTGCTGAAGACCGTCGGGAGCACGCCCAAATTCGAAGAAAACAGGAGGAGTCACATTGACATCGGGACAAGCCTAGACCTGTTGGAATACAAGAATCCTATGTATTATTATTTATGCAACGACGCGGCCTTGTTCGAGCTCGCTGTGCTGGCGCACGCAGGTCGAATTTTCAACGAGAACGATATGATTAAAATAGTTGGCACCGATTTCAGTCGTAGCCTCGTAGTGGAAGCTTCTGGCTTGAATCACGAAGACCCTACGGCCACCTTTATAATAGAGAATCATAATGAGATCGAGAGGGGCTCACCGAACCGCATGCACTTGGTTGGCGGCGCGAGTTTGGTTTCTTTTCTGATATTGCATACGAAGCAGTTGATAAATCCCAATCATTTCCCACTCAAATACTTTGCAACTGGCAGACAATACATGCCATTGCCGCGTGATACGCACGCGTGCGGCTTATTCACGGCATGTCAGGCATCCGTGGCGCACGCTTTTGTCATGGTGAAGGACGCAAAAAGCGAAGAGTACGAAACTCGATTCAATGAACTCTTGGAAAACGTATGCAGATTATACGATGATCTGTGCGATCATTATCGCGTCGTTATGCGATCCGCATCCGAGCTACAGCCTTGCGAGGGCTTGCGCGTGTCCTTCGAGATGTGGTCACCGTTCGCAAATCAGTATATAGAAATTGGTCACGTGTCTGCGTACGGTAATTATGTCAGCAAGAGGTTACTGATCGCCTATCAAACGTCATGTGGTAGGGATTTTCCCGCTGTGATATCCGGTACCGTTCTCTCCTTTCCACGTTTGCTAGCTTGCCTACTCGAACAAAATCCCGACAAATTCGTGATTCCACCAAAGATAGCCGATCTTGTGCTTTCGGATGACTATATTGCTACATAAATTAATGCTATGTAAATAAGTAATTAAAGAAATTTCTTACATATATTACGATTAAAATGTTATAAAAATATCATATAAATTATCCAAGCTAGAGAAGAAAGTTTAATGTTTTCGTAAAATATATAGGAACGATCAATTGACATTGTAGAATGCGAGTTGTAAACTATTTTCAAGTTGTGATATGTCCATAATATGTATTAGCGAAATAATAAATGCTTAAATACACCTACATTACTTGGCTTCTGTATAAAACGTAAGTGTCGACTATCTGTCATTGCTAGATTGCTATTTTACAAGATACCGATCAATGTAATGCAAAACTTCGAAAGCGACTTCCACCATGATAAGAACGATAATCATCCACTCCAAACGGACGTGATGACGATCGCTCAAGTGCGATGATAAAATGCTCACTAGTTCCACACAGTGATTTAATCTCTCATTCATCACCTGTTTGTAAAAGATTCATATATATTACCAAAAACACAAACATATTGTATAGAAAATATTTCTAATAAAGATCAGAAATGATCATTAATAAAGATAATCTAATTTTTAAACTACACTTACTCTCGTACGTTTTGCGATGCTAAAGTATCCGCAGATTTGTTGATATAAACTTTCCAGATCATCTCGTTCCCAGTAGAAATCAGGTGTATCCAACAGATCCGAACTCAGATTAATCCGATGTCTGAGAGCGAACAGTTCGCCCTGTTTCCTCAATACTTCCTGCTGCGTCATCTGAAGCTTCCTTCCGGCTTTCAGATCTTCCGTGACGAATTCGATTGAATCGACATAACGATTCAACGATGCCTCCCATATGCCTAATTTGACAGATTGCGCCATGGCATTAGAGAATGTATACTTGTCCAACTTGTCCAAGTTTCCAGCTTCTTGCGCCAAGAAGATATCGCCGTCCTTCAAGTGGCTTTTTTTCCTATTGGGGAGATTTCGTGAATTAGTAATTATTTTTTAAGACATATATATTCGTGTATATATTTGCTTTTTAATTTGCTCTTTATACTTAATTTCACACATGAAGCTATGAACGTATAATATATATGAAAGGAATTAATAATGAAAAGAGAAAGTAGATATACCCGGAATCGGAATAAGTATAATGCATCAACTCGCTTTCGGTATGAATCAGCTCTTTCATGTAACGATTCTGCTCGTAATTTCTCAAAAACTGCAATAAGTTGCCACATTCGAGATCGGAAATATTCCACATAACAATACTACCTTCTCGAAAGAAAAAGATCTCTCGTGGTTCATGTGCTACTTCATATTTTGCTACCGCATGTATAACATCAGGCAAGGCTGTAAAAAAAAACAAAGTATACAATATAGATTGAACTTTAATTAATTTTATAAACTCGAAAGAATTTCAATTTCATTTTAAAGATAAAATAAAAAACTAATAAATAAATACATTTAAGTTCACAATACATGTATATTGTTTTGTGAATTTGCCAAAACTTTGCAATATCACTGACGATCACTGGTGACATTGAAATTCAGATTGTGATGAAATAAAAAAGATTCCAATAATTAAGGAGTTTATTTTAAAAAAAAAAAAAAAAAAAAAAACAGAAAACTTATAGGAATATTTTTATTTATTTATTTTTAAACCTAAATGTCTTCAAGAATATTGCACTCCGAGAAGCAACGAGAAGGAATGATATTACAACATAGCTGCATAATATATAATATAATTTACATGCAATATATTTGCGCTTTTCGCATGTGCTAGCTATACTATATTTTAATCAATTAAAAACGGACTGTCGCAAGCACCTAAACCGGTCGCTACACCGCCTTCGTTATCGATAGCTAATTTCGTTCTTAGCATATGACCACCCTGTTTATTGACAATAATATTTTTATCGTCTCCGATAATAACACCGAATATGCCTAATTCCGAGACTAATTCTTTCGTATCTATATCCATGTTAGTTCCAGGTTTCACGACGTAGTTTTTATGCACCGGCGGATTAACTCGATCCATGAGAATCCAAGCTACTCGAGCCTGTTCAGATTTTACAGATTCTAAAAAGTCTTTGATATCCGTCCCATATAAATTGTTGCAACCGCCTTCTCTCTGTGGTTTTAACACGAAACGCTGGGGATCTGAGATTCCCATTTCTACAGCAATATTACCATATTCATCAAAGTCCAGCGGATACAGACCTGAAATTAAAAAATCGTATAATTTAATTTTACAATATATATACAGTTAAGATAATAAACATATTTTCTATTATTATTATTATATTATCAATATTAGAGCAATCGCAACATGTTTCTGCAGTTTAGAATTTAAAGAGAATAGAATCTTACATTTATAATATAAATATATAATAAAGAGAGCAGTTATATACCAGTAAATATCTCTTTAACTTTTCCCACTGTTTTTTCATCCTTTAAGAAACGTGCGACTATGCCAGGCTTTGCAAGAGTTTGTTGAACCTTCTTGGTACCAGCCAAGTGGTATTGAATGCTTGGACATTTGATTGCCAATGATCTCTCAATCAGCAATCTCGCGTCCCATTCTTTTTTAGTGTGATATTGATTGGGCTCATAGCCGCATCTGTAGTAGACTACAGATATAATATAATCATTCACTATTAGCTCCATATTGGAGCCCAGTCTTGCAGTGTCTGCTAATTGCGTCAAATTTCTGCGAATCACTTTCACATTCGGATTCTGTTTTCGTATTTCAAATTCGTGGAAACGCTGATCGCAGATATTATATGTAATGTCTTCAATAACAAATAAAATAACAGCTCTGCAAATATTTTCACATCTCTAAACACACATGAAAAAACTGAGAAATTTTAATCAAATAAAATTAAAAAATAAAATTAAAAAATCTATATGATAAGAATGGACAAAAAAAGAGAGAAAGATTGGATAAATTGGAATAAATTTTAAAAATCAATTTATAGAAATTTATAAACATACTGTGGATTGTCATATAAATTCCACGCTTCTATCATGCCTGAACATAGTATTTGTAGTGCATTATTTTCAGGAAGATTGCTCAATTCAGCTGTATAGCCAATTTCTTGCAAGACAAACTTGTGTAACTGAGTAGATACGGGTCCTAGCCAACCAAATCCCGAAGCAATTGTATTTATCTCAATCTGTTTCCAACAGCAGTGAGGCTTGAGTTCCTTATTATCTTTCTTAGGACAACTGGTATCTAACATTAAATCTGAGCGTAATATACCAAGCGATATTTTCTGAGCAACCCCTTCTTTATGAATAGTTTCATAGATGTCAAATAAGTTCCTGGTAAAGTCATCAACTTTTATAGTTTCTTCCAAAGTCTCCTTTAAAAAATCATAATCATGAGCTACTTTGTGTATAAGCATGTTCAAAGTAATCTGAATGTCACAAGCATTTTGAAATTCTTCTCGTGGGAACGGTGATGGAAAAAGCACAAATGGTGCAAACTGCAAAACATCTCTGTTGAAATTTATTTTCGATCTCAAACACATCCCATTCATAAGGGCCCAATCCTTTGCTTTCTCTATCAGGTCTTGCAATTCGTTTTTTGAAACATCTAGCGAAATGGGCGATTTCATTGTTGATTGCTTGTCTCTATGCATTTTTTCCAACTAAACAGCTAAACTATGCTTTGATTAATCTTTAAACTTCCAGGTATATTCCTGGAGTGTTATCGTCGATAGCGTATACAGAATAGCACTCCTGTGCTCTAATGATGTTATATTTTATTTTTGTATGTCGAATTATAAAATATCAGAGTGTGTCTGATTCATGTAATAAAAATTATAACAATCACTTCACTGTATTTGATTATCACTTGTATTATAATATTTCACTCTTTGTGAAATGTAATTAACTTTGCCTGTAATTATTTGTTTATAAATACGATATCAGATGCATCGATCGATCTTAAAGAATAACTATGACATAGATCAACAATGTGTGGAATGATTAATATAAATAATTTCCATACGTAAAAACACAATCACTTATCACTCGATTATCTCGATCGTCAATTTATATCACTGACAGTAACTGATTTTGACTGATAGTCTCCTCTTTATATAAGCCAATGAATGGGCGTAAACAGGTGACGAGTGTAACCAATGGGCCAATCAGAAAGACTCTTCTTAAGACTCGGTATACACGGTGACACATAAAAACGCTGAGTAACCGGCAAGATTTCGCGTAATCTTGCAATCGTTTAAGGTGCCTTTACATGGCAGCGTTAAGCGTCGAGCGTCTGTGCAGAGAATTGCGCAGAAGCAATGTTGCTGCAACGTTCTGTGCTGTATGGGAAGGATTATGGGATATAATTTTCATTTTTTTTCCTGCATGTTTATAACATACTGCTCCTTTAAATCATTTCCTACTTTTAACAATAGTTTTTCAAACTGTGTCGTTTTGTCATTTGTGAATCCCTTTTTGTGTCTTATTTATTTGAATATTTCAACCGTCCAAAATCTTTTGCCACATTTGTATTTTAATTTAATATTAATTTACATTGCCAGAGTAGTAACGTTTCATAATATATCTTTGATTACTAATAATAATAACACACACACACACATATCTGTTATATAATAAAATAAATGAAATATAATTCTGGGCAACAATATTCTGCGCAGACGTTTAACGCTTGACGCTGCCATGTAAAGGCACCTTTACACAGCATAAATATTGTTGCGCAAAAATGCGACACATCGAGAAATTTTGTTAAAAATACTTACAATTTGTGGACGTAGATATCTTACTGGGAATATATAGCTGTTGATCCAGCAGGCCATAAGCTAAAGCTTCCAAATTATATTCTTCTGCTGTGGCTAAAGCTTTTACATTCCATGTCTAATAAAAAGAGAAATCTTCTTTATACATATATATACTTTTCTCTTTTTCATATACATATATACATACTTTATTACAGATTGCAATATAGGCTGTGTTCCGATATTCACTGCCAGTACTGAAAATCTATAGTTTACGTCACATACACTATAGATTTTCAGTACTGGCAGTGAGTATCGGAATGCAGCCACAGTTTTCTATATTCTTACACTGAAATAAACTCACATCAGGTTTTGGAGTCTTATCATCGCTTATTATAGCGTTATTTCTTCTAGTCGGTCTCTTTTTTATTTGAAATGTAGATATATTTTCTACACCACCAGTTTCATTTTCTTTTAATTTATTTTTCTGTAGCTGCAGAATTGTAGAATTATGAAAAAGTCTCTTGTGAATTATACACACGTCATGTGTAAGAAACTGTGTTTGCACCAACGTTGACCCTTTCTGCAAAGTTCTCAAGCTTGGTACAATCCCCCAGTATGCATCAATATTAATTTTATTTTTACAGCTTGATAATGCAAGCCTGTGAATCATTCTGAGACTCATTTTATCAGGTGTTATTGTCGAAAATACACACTATTATAAATAGCACTTTTCTTGTGCATATAAATAATATGCGTTTTTGTACAAATATTTTTCAACGTATTAAATAATAAAACAATTACAGTTGTAAAAATTATTAACACGACACGTGTATAATAATTGTCACCTCGCAACATAAATCTCGTTAATCACCAACATTGTTTGTTATATCAATATTGTATCAACTATTATTCATTCAAATTATCAGTTTCTTTTTAAATAATTTGTCATTTTAAACTATATATTTGTATATCATATGTAATGAATTAAGGTTATGTCATAAGTGATAAATTTATAGTAATTTATAGACTTTTTGATACTCTTTCTACAAACTGAATTTCGTAATATCGTTCATCCGATAGTCAACGTCCATAAAGTAGTCGATTGCGCCAAGATGGGCATCACATAGTTTTTACTATCAATTAGTAAAATCTGGTAAAATGCATGATAATATCTGTCAATTACATATTTACAAATTATAAATCTGATAAAATAAAAAATTATAATATATTTTGAATTTAATATATTTTGCTTGTATGTATTTGATTAATCATTGAGCAGATAATATGATGATTATGAAAAAGCTATAAAACCAGAGAACTTTTATGTCATGAAATTAAAATTTAAATTGATTGGTGTTACGAATCAAGTAATTTGATTGACCAATCAGAATGAAGGAAGCAAAGATTTCTTTCTCCGATTGGTCAATCGAACGATTTGAAGGATTTGTAAATCCGGTGCACATCAAAGTGCACTTAAAGGCCCCGAAGACTTGCTAAAAGCTAAAAGTGGAACCAACCGGAAGTCGCATTTCTCTTGTGTTTGACACGTGAAACGTGATAAACGTACTGGTTCAGCGCTGATCAGTTTTACTCAGTACAAATAAGTACAAATTGGTTATCTCGACCAGTATTAAATTTCAATCATGGTAAGCGATTAATGTGACACTGATTAATATTTAAAAAATGAAATCTGCCATAGTGATAGTATATTTAACTTTTAGAAATCACATTGAATACTTGAACTTTAGGTTAGGTATATCTCACCGAAGCTAAGACGGCTCACAAAGTTCAAATAATTGCTTACAACAATATCGCATGTGTTTTTTCAACAAAATAAATGCGAGATTGTTATTGATACATTGTACATATTTTCTAATAAAGTGTATTGATTGGTGTTTTTCGTTTCTATTTCCTAGGCTACAACCAAGGTAGATAATCCTGAAAAACCAGGGCAGGAAGTCACTCCCATTCATCGAATTAGAATTACCCTCACATCGCGCAATGTTCGTTCTCTCGAAAAAGGTAAATATAATTTTGATAAATGCAATTATTTATTTTGTTAACTGACATTAAAACTTTGGAAACAAAATGAAAAAATTAAATCTGTATAATTTTGAATACAAATATTTAGTTATAATGCAGTAAATAACCGAGTATTCTTTGTTTGAAGTATGTGCGGAATTAATCAATGGGGCCAAGAAGCAGAAGTTGAAGGTCAAGGGGCCTGTTCGCATGCCTACAAAGATTTTGAGAATAACGACTCGTAAAACACCTTGTGGTGAAGGTTCAAAGACATGGGATCGGTTCCAGATGCGAATTCATAAGAGAGTTATTGATTTGTATTCGCCATCAGAGATTGTGAAACAAATCACAAGCATTTCAATCGAGCCTGGTGTAGAAGTGGAAGTGACGATTGCTAATGAATAAACTGTAATTAAAACTGAATACAAAGTTTTAATAAAAATATTAAAAAATTAGACTTATGAATATATTTTTTTTACGTGTCTTGACTAAATGCAAAGAAGCTTAATGCAATTGTTTTCATATTAACTGCAGTTTTCTCTTCATGATTTGCAAAACATAAATGTTACTTTTTAGTGGATATTATTGAGAAGTTTATCAGAATTAAAAACAGATGTCTTCAGATCATTTATTATATATCAAGTCAGTAGAAAACTTCATTTTTGCATAAATTACAGTGGATTAATCTTTACATTTTTTATTTCCATATTTATTGAAGAACCACGCTAATACGTTTAACCAAGCAGTAGAACACTTTATTAGAGACTAGCTGTAATAAAAAAAAAAAAAAAAAAAAAACACATGCGAATATCTGTCCAGTTTATCAAATGTGTACTTTATTATTCGAATATATATGTATATATATTCAATTTTCATCCTCGGAAATGTCTTCCTCTTTATCATTATGCTCTGCGCCTTTATTGTTATATTCAATTTTGCTGTTCTGTTCGGCTCCTTCGCCGCCGCTGAAATCGCCCTCCATTCCCTCCACTTCCTCCTCGTCATCGTCGCCAGCGACTTCTGCATTTTCAAGTTCTGCTCGTTCCATCTGTCGCGCTAATTCGGCCTCGTCCGTCGCGGTAACAACCTTTGGCTGAAAGAAAAAAGATTTTAACTTGCGGCATATAAAAACGTTAGGATTAAATAAACGTATTAATTCGGGAAACTTACTGCCATTTGGACATTAAATACACCCCCGAGCGACGTTATTTTACTCTCAATAACTTCGATTGCGTCTCCTAATGCCTTTAATCCATCCTGTTTTTCTGGTGTAGATGTCGTCATAACTGAAAGTTAGCATTCAATAAAATACAATATTATAATTTAATGCACACATACAAATATTCATGATTTTTTTTATAAAGAACATAATATAGTACGTACCATACAGGGGAGGAGCAATTAAATTGATTTTTATAGGTAATTCGTCAGTGGAGAGAGCTAAGCCAGCCTTCAATGCAGTCTTTACGGCATCAATACCTTCGTAGCCGTAACATGCTACTTCCACATCCGCCCTAATTTTGACAGCTTGCGAGGTGAGTTTCCGTTTGATATTATTTAACAATACTTCTTTCGTGTGTTCATCGAGGCCACATTCCGCTAAAATGGAAGGATCCCTGAAAATTGTTAATATTCATAAATGTATTTATATATTCGGACATTACACAACTACTTTATCATATGCAGTTGATCTCTTTTTACAATACTGATTGCTTGAAGAAATCATAAGCAGATGCTTTCTGTTTCTTATATTTTTCTTCAAAATGCCAGGCTGTCTTCTGATATAATTCTTCTAATTGATCATCATTATCATAATGCAACAATTCTGCTACATGTCTTAAAATTGAATTAACAGCTTTAGCTTTAGCATATCTCTCTGTACACTGCTCAGATCAATATAACCTTTTCCAAAAATTATATATATCGTAAACATTGAATCGATAGAAGATAAATCGATAGAATTTGATAAATTGTAATTACCTTTTTCTTTATCTACTCGAATAACGACAACTGGTTCAGTTTTGCCTACTCGAATGAGTTTATTAATAGACCTAATACGTCTTCTGGACAGTTCAGAGAGCAGGATCATGCCCTCAATGTTGTTGTATTCCAATAAGTGTACATATGCACCCATCTCAGCTATACTGCGCACATTTACCATTACCACATCTTCCACTTCTGGATATTTTTCTTTATAAAATCGACACGACAGCACCATATTTGCTAAAAAATTATATGAAGCCTAGCATCAACATACAATATGCGGTGTCAGAAATGATATCTCGGACATTTTAATACATTAAGTATTAAATAACGTAAGGTATAAATACTATTTGAAGAAAGTATGCTAACGACAATAGCGCGCGAGAGATGAAAAAGTTTCAAATTGAAATGTTTATTAAAAAAATAAAAAAAAGTAATAGGTTAATTGTTGTAGGTTAGCATTCTGGAAAGGTGATAAAGTGTCAGTACCACTCCAATCGTTACCTAAATAAGTATACTCTCGCACAATGATCTTTCTTCTATTTTTATCAGCGATGGAGATATAACGAGTATATTAATATAGACACTCTT